GCTCCGTAAAACCAGGATGGTGAGACTTTGTCATTTATACTTTGGATATATTATCAGGAGGGTCTGTATATTGATATCCTTGGAGAAGGATATCATGATTGGAAAAGTGGAGGATCATCAAAAAAGATGAAGACCTCCAATAAGATGGATTGGCACAGTGGCAGCAGCAATGGACTCAAGCTTAACAACGATTGTGAGGATGGCCCTGGTTTTGTTCTGTTGTGCATACTGTCACTATGAGTTGGAACCCACTTGACAGCTCCTAAGAACAACAACTGATTGTCATTGAATTAGTTCCAACTCACAGTGACCCTGTAAAGAATTTCTGAGGAGATGAACCACTGATCTTGTGGTTAGCAGCCCAGTGCTTATCCTACAGCGCCTCACCAGGACTCTGGTACAGCATCTTTGAAAAGTTAAACATTTGGGATATCTTTAATTTCCACTTCACAGGGATCTCCCTGTGATGATCCTGCTAAAATAATTTTCTTGCAGCTGTTAATCACAAGGTGGGACATTTAAACCCATCAGTGGCTCCATGGGAAAAAGAGAGGCTTTCTGCCCTTATAAAAGGTTTACAGTCTCTGAATCCCTATGGAGCAGTTCTACTCTGAATCAGGGTAGCTATAAGCCGAAAATGACTTGATGGCAATGTTGTTTGTTTGTTTGTTTCTGTTTTAGCATCCTTTGGTCCAGAAATACTGATTCAACAAATCCCAAAGAATAAACCTCCAGGCTCCTACTGAGTAGGGAAGATACAGATGCTACATCTCTGTTTGAACAAATCTTCTGATGGGTATTTAGTACAGTGAAAATGTGAGTTTTTGAATACCACAGTAAAACCTGGTTTGTTTCTGAGGTTGTTCCTTGTTGATTTAAGACTCAGCTTCCTCAGGTCTGCTGCCTTCTACCTTTCCTAAGTTTATACTTTCTCCTTTTCTATTGTCTTTGCCGTTATAGGTTTATGTTTTTTTTTTAAAAACAACAATAAACAATTTTCTGCCATTGCATAAAGAAGTGGAATGACATGTGTTCAATCTGTCATCACTAATGGGAAGCTCTGATGTACATATTCATTACATGTAAAGGCTAATAGCATTTCATCATCCTTTCCTAAGCTGAGGGCTTTTGCTCTAAAGTCCTATGTGACTAAGCATGAAAACAGAGTGAGTAGCAGCAGCAGAGAAGTATGTCTTCTCAAAAGGAACATTCATTCATATTTATAGACAAAGAAACAGTTTTTACAGTGAAGCAATTTAAGGTTAATATTATTTTCTCACCTAAATAACCTGGCCCTCTGAACAGTTCAGGTGATGGGAAGCTACTTAAACTCTCTTCAAAACTGTTGCATTCTGTATAAGAGTCTGTGATTGAATGACTCAGAAGAGAACTGGAACTATCATGCTGAAAACTTAGTCCTGTAGAATTAACAGATAGACAAAAAAGGTAAGATGTTTCAATAGAAAACACTCAAACTCTAAGAATTCAAATTTGTAGAAATATAGATGTAGATATATACTAAGAATGTAAAATTGCTTCCACATTTAATTTTAATTACAGAAAATAATCTGTTTATGTTGATAAAAGATATCATAAACCTCTTTGTGAATATTTTTTTTCTTAAAATGTCCTGACCCAGTTTTGAGGCCCTAACTGGAGGTTAGTCAGTTCCCCTTCTTAAACAGCTGATTAAGTCTAACCTCCAACCACTGGTCTCATCAGGTTCTCACACTCCTGGGCTACTATGTACCCACTCTAATTGCCTTGGAGCCAGGTACCCAACACCTACGGACAGCACCTATGCTCACCCTCTCCCTAGAGTCTATGAAATTATTCAAAACGCCCAATTCCCAGGAAGCCTTCAAAACCTAATTAACCCCATCCTGCTTGCCTAACTAATATAGCCGTCTCCTATATTCCAGGTTGTTGCTAGCTGTACTCAAACACTTCTTCCGCACCCCCGTGAAGCAGGCAAGCTGTGTTCTCCCCAGAGAACTGTGAAAACTTTAACTTTCATAGTTTCTCTCTTGATCTGCCTTGGCCTTACCCTTATCGTACCTCACCTAAGGTAATAAGAGTTTCAACACTCTCCCATTGTTTTTTCAAGTTTTAGTTTTACAACTTAGCCCTTCTCCACTTTTGTTCAGTTGTGATTCTTGACATAGAAATACAAGTTTTATATACTAGTAACACACTGAACTGACTCCACGGCACTTAACAACAACACACTAATTAAAGATAACTAGCTGAGGAGAGGAAAGGATGACTCTACACATTCCATTTGAAAAGTAACAAGCTTAATGATAGACAAACAGATCAAAGGGACTGACTAGAGAGCCCAGAAATTTGTGGAAAAATAGAATGAACAGATAATGGAATTTTTCCATGAGCTTCTTAATAACTAATTTTTGATCATGATATAATTTTTGACCAGTGGAGAGAGGATGGTATTTTCAACAAAATGTACTAGAATAACCGACTGAATATCCATATGCTAAGGGAAAAAAAAAAAGGAATTTGCATTTATATTTACCTTGCATAATATTTAAAAACTAACTCTGAATGGGCGGTGGACCTAAATGGAAATCCTAAAACTATAAAAAACTGAAATGAATATGTATAAAATATATATGTATATATATTTTATAAAATCCTGCTGGTGTGGTGCTGTAGGATAAGCACTCAATCAAAAGTCGGTTCAGACTGCTAGGTTGGCAGTTCAATCTCACCAGGCATTCCACAGAAATGGTATACAGGGTTGCTATGAGTCGGAACCAACTCGATGGGGCTTAACAACAATAATAATAATACTCAAATGGGAGTGCATCGGCGTGCCATACGGTAAGCACAGGACTGCTAACCACAAGGTCAGCAGTTTGAGGTCAAGAGTCGCTCTGTGCGAGACAGATGAGACTTTCTGCTCCCTCAGAGAAGATTTAAAGACTCAGAATCCCTACAAGGTGTTACTATGAGTCAGAACTGATGTGACAGCACTTAAAACAGCAACATACGTATTTGCATATTCATCTCAAAACCCAAATACAGGCATACCTTTTTATATTTTGCCTCACTTTACTCACTTCATAGACACTGCATTTTTTTATAAATTGTTACGTTTATGGAAATTCTGCACTGAGCAAGTCCATCAGTGCCATTTTACCAACAGTATGTACTCATTTTGTGTCTCAGTGTTACATTTTGATAATTCACATAATATTTCAAACTTGTTCATAATGCGTTGGCACACTTAACAAAGTATAGTGTAAACACAACTTTTTTTTTATATGTACTAGGAAACCAAAATATTTATTATAATATTCACTGCACTACAGAGGTCTAGAACTGAACCTCTAATAGCTCCAAGATATGCCTGCCATAAGAAAACAAACATCTCAATTTTTAAAATTGGCAAAACAGTTGAATAGAAAAGTTTCCAGTTTTAGAGGCTTTCAAGTCATTCCTGTAAGACTACATCAGAATGAAGACCTTTGCAATAAGTAATAGAGATGGATTTTTTGTTGTTGTTGTGATGTGCCATGCAGTTGGTTCCGACTCAGAGCGACCCTACACAGGGTTTCTGAGGCTGTTAATCTTTATGGGAGCAGAATGCCTCATCTTTCTCCCGCAGAACAGCTGGTAGTTCAATTCTTCTATGATCTTCCTTATTCACTGTCCAACTTTCGCATGCATATGAGGTTATTGAAAATACCATGGCTTGGGTTAGGCCCATGTTAGTCCTCAAGCTGACATCTTTGCTCTTCAACACTTTAAAAAGGTCTTGTGCAGCAGATTTGCCTAATCCAATACACTGTTTGCTTTCTTGACTGCTGCTTCCATAAGCGTCGATGGTTGATACAAGAAGGAAGTCTTTGACAACGTCAATCTTTTCTCCGTTGATAAGAATGTTGTTTATTGGTCCAGTGGTAAGGGTTTTTGTTTTCTTTACATTGAGATGCAATCCATACTAAAGGCTGTGGTTTTTTATCTTTATCAGTAAGTATTTTAAGTCATCTTTATTTTCAGCAATCAAGGTTGTATTATTTGCATATTGCAGGTTGTTAATGAGTCTTCCTCCAATCCTGATGCCATGTTATTCTTCATTTAACCCAGCTTCTCATAATATTTGCTCAGTATGCAGGTTGAATAAGTATTGTTAAAGAATACAACCCTATTGCACACCATTCCTAATTTTAAACCATTCAGTATTCCCGTGTTCTTGTCAAACAACTGCCTCTTGGTCTGTGTACAGGTTCCTCATGAGCACAATTAAGTGTTCAGGAGTACTCATACTTCGTAACATTGTCCACAGCCATGATCTACACAATTGAAAGCCTCTGTACAGTTAATAAAGCACAGGTAAACATCTTTCTGATGCTCTCTGCTATCAGCCAAGATCTATCTGACGTCAGCAGTGATATTCCTCATTCCACAGCCTCTTCTGAATCTGGCTTGAACCTCTGGAAGTTCTCTGTCAATGTATGCTCACAGCCATTTCTGCATTACCTTTAATAAAACTTTACTTGCATGGGATATCAAGATATTGTCTGATGATTTCCACAGTCTGTTGGGTAACCTCTCTTTGGAATGGGCACAAATATGGATCACTTCCAATTAGTTGGCCAGATAGTTGACTTCCAAATTTCTTGGCATTGATGAGTGAGTGCCTCCAGTGCCACCTCATTTTCTTGAAAGATTTCAATTTGTATTCCATCAATTCCCAGTGCCTTGTTATTGCCAATGACCTGATGCACCCTGGACTTCTTGCTTCAGGATCACTGGCTCTTGATCACATGCTACCTCTTGAAATGGTTGAACATTGACCATTTCCTTTTGGCACAGTAACTCTGTGTATTCCTTCCATCTTCTTTTGATGCTTTCTGCATCATTCAATAATTTGCCCAGAGAGTCCTTCAATAACGAAAAGTTGAGACTTGAATTTTTTCTTTTGTTCCCCCAGCTTGAGAAACGCTGATCAACATGTTCTTTCCTTTTGGTTTTCAAACTCCAGACCTTTGCATATTTTGTTGTAATATTTGACTTTGTCTTCATGAGCTGACCTTTGAAATTTTCTGTTCAGCTCTTATACCTCCTCGTTTCTTCCATTTGCTTTAGCATCTCTACACTAGAGAACAAGTTTCAGTCTCTTCTGACACCCATTTTGATCTTTTTCTTCTTCCGTGTCTTCTTAATGACTTTTTGCTTTCTTCCTGTATGATGTTCTTGATGTCATCCAACAACTCTTCTGGTCTTTGGTCTATAGTGTCTGATGTAAATTCAGGTAGGATGTATTTAAGGTCATATTTTGACTCTCGTGGACTTGGTTTCATTTTCTTCAGCTTTAGTCTGAATTTGCATATAATCAATTGATGGAGATAGAGCACGGTATTATAAGTTGAGGAGAATTTTAAGTTTAGGAAGAAAAAGGAAGACTATATTTAGTCAGCATTATTAAACACTACTGACATGACTCTGAAACTTGCTCTCCAGTATAGAGAGGCTGAAGTGACTGGAAAAATTAGGAAGTAAAAGACCTTGATAGAACATTTAAAGGGCAGCTCAAGAAGACAAAGTATTATAATGAAATGTTCAAAGACCTAGAGTTAGAAAACATAAAGGGAAGAACATACTCAGCATTTCTCAAGCTAAAAGAACTGAAGAAAATATTCAAGCCTTGACTTCCAATACTGAAGGATTCGATATGCAAAATATTGAATAACGCAGAAAGATCAAAAGAAAATGGAAGGTATGAACAGATTACTGTACCAAAAAGAAATGGTTGGTGTGCAACAATTTCAAGAGGTAGCATGTGATCAAGAACCAGTGATAATGAAGGAAAAACTCTGAGCTGTAATCAAAATATTGGCAAAAAACTAACTTATTCTACACCAAGAAATTTGGAAGACAGCTACCTAGCCAACTGATTGGAAGAGATCCATATTTGTGCCCACATCAAAGAGAGGTGATCCAATGGAATGTGGAAATAACAGAATATTAATTATAATTATTACATTCAAGGAAAATTTTGCTGAAGATAATTTAAAAATGGCTGCAACCGTACATTGCCAGGGAACTGACAGAAACTCTAGCCAAATTCAGAAGATGTGGAATGAGAGATACCATTGCTGACATCAGATGAATCGTGCCTAAAAGCACAGACAACTAGAAAGATGTTTACTTGTGCTTTGTTGACTATGCAAAGGCTTTCAACTGTGTGAATCAACACAAGCTATTAACACTGCAAAGAACAGGTATTCTGGAACACTTGATTGTGGTCATGGGGAACTTGTACACAGATCAATAGGCAGTCATTGGAACAGAATAAGGGGACACTGAATGAAAAAAATCAGGTAAGGTATGCACCAGGGTTATATTCTCTCAACATACTTATTCAATCTGTAAAATGATCAAATAATCTGAGAAGCTGGATTATATGAAGAAGAGCATGGTATCAGAATTAGAGAAGATTCATTAACTATTGGTGATATGCAGATGACACAACCTTGCTTGTTAAAAGCAAAGAGGACTTAAAATACTTACTGATAAAGATCAAAGACTTTGGTATGGATTGCACTTCAGTGTAAGAACAAAAATCCTCATCACTGGACCAATAAATAACATCAAGATAAATGGAGAAAATATTGAAATTGTCAGATTTCATTTTGCTTGGAAACACTATCAACACTTATAAAAGTCAGTAAATTGAATGACATGTAAATCTGTTGCACATGACAGTAAATGTGCTGCACAAGATCTCTTTAAAGTACTGAAGAACAAAGATGTCAATTTGAAGACTAAGGTGTGCCTGGCCCAAGCCATTGTATTTTTAGCAGCCTCATAGGCCTGGGAAAGTTGGACAATGAATACAGGAGACTGTAGAAGAACTGATGCATTTGAGTTATGGTGTTGGAGAAGAATACTAAAAGTAGCACAGACTATCAGAAGATCAAAAAATTTGTGTTGAAAGAAGTACAGCCTAATGCTCCTTAGAAGCCAGGATGGTGAGACTTCTTAGTCTCTTGTACTTTTGACATGTTTCAGAAGGGACCAGTCACAGAGAAGGACATCATGCTTGAAACATGGAGGGTCAGTGAAAGAGAGGAAGATACCTAAAGAGATGGGTTGGCACAGTGACATCAGCAATGGGCTCAAACATAACAACAATTGTGAGGATGGCAAAAGACTGGGCAGTATTTCATTCTATTGTGCGTAGGGTTGTTATGAATCAGAACCAATTCGATGACATCTAACAACAAAATGGCTTTTTAAAATGTTTTCTTTTCCCTATTTTGTCTGTAGCTTTCAAGTTTCTTTTTATTTGCTATCTATCTTTTCTTCATTCATCTGTCAGTTTGTCACATTGTGGTGGCTTCCATGTTGCTGAGATGCTGGAAGCTATGCCATCAGTATTTCAAACACCAGCAGGGTCAACCATGGTGGACAGTTTTCAATGGAACTTCAAGACTAAGACTTCATGTCACATATTTCGGACATGTTATGAGAAGGAACCAGTCCCTAGAAAATTGTAAAATTTTATTATTGGAAAAATGTGTAATAGTTAGTGCTTACTCTCAAGGGCATTAGAGCCAAGTTAGAGAGTCAGAAACGATTAGACTGCTATTTTAAGTCCTCTTACACAAGAGCAAAAAGAATGCTACAGAACCACCAGGCTAAAATAACTCATCTAGAGAGGAGTCAAAAAAGGCTTGCCAGTAGAGGTGACACCTAAGCTTATTCTTGAAGAATAACCAGGCAAAGAAGAGAAAGGATGAAAAAGCATTTGATGAGTACCTCATATATTCTAGGGAAATTTTTGCTAACTTGATTTTCAGCTGATTTATTCCAATATTAAAGCTCATTTATTGTTTGTAATTTGATGATATTTTTAGTTTCCAGGAATTAAATTCACTTTTTCAAAGCAGCCTGCTCCTATATAGATAAAGTGGTCTCTTGTCTCTAAAAAGATATTTAAAGTTTTCTGCCATTTTCTCAGCTGTCAGTTCTATTTATTATGTATGTTGCCTCTTTCCCACAGCACTGATTTTCTTCAAAGTTTTGGTTGTTTAACTAGTTGTCTGCTCAAATTTCTATTTGAGACTTTCTTGAATGGCAATGAGTATAAATTCTGGTAACAGTACCTATCTCTAGAGATTCTAGAAGAACAAGGCGGATATTCTGAGAACTTGTGTTCTGGGTGAGAATGTCCACCATGTCTTCTGGTATTATAGGTTATGTGGAACACTATTCCAGAAAATCTACTGTAACAGAAAACCATATCGTATCTATCATCACCTTTTCTTTTCCCCTCCTCTGCTAACTTTGTGCCACCTTGCTTGCTGAAAGTGAAGAGGACTTAAAATATTTACTGATGAAATTCAAAGACCACAGCCTTTGGTATGGATTACATCTCAATGTAAAGAAAACAAAAATCCTCACCACTGGACCAATAAACGACATTCTTATCAACAGAGAAAAGATTGAAGTTGGCAAGGACTTCCTTCTTCTTGAATCAACTACCAACACTCATGGAAGCAGCAGTCAAGAAATAAAACAACATATTGCATTAGGCAAATCTGCTGCACAAGACCTTTCTAAAGTGTTGAAGAGCATAGGTGTCAGCTTGAGGACTAAGGTACCTGACCCAAGCCATGGTATTTTCAATAACTTCATACGCATGTGAAAGCTGGACAGTGAGTAAGGAAGATCATAGAAGAATTGATGCAATTGAGTTATGGTGTTGGAGGAGAATTAAAAGTGCAATGGGCTGCCAAAAGAATAAATAGATCTGTGTTGGAAGAAGTGCAGCCTGAGTGCTCCTTGGAGGTTAGGATGGCCAAACTTCATCTCTCATACGTCAGACATATTGTCAGGAGGGACCAGTTGCTGGAGAATGATATCATGTTTGGTAAGGTGGAGAGTCAGAGAAAAAGAGGAAGACCTCCAGCGAGATGGATAGGCCAAGTGGCAGCATCACTGGGCTCCAATTTGGCAACAACTGTGAGGTTGGCCCAGGATCGGGCAGTGTTTCATTCTGTTGTGCATAGGGTCGCTATGAGTCAGTACTGACTCAATGGCACCTAGCAACAACAACTTTGTGCCAATCTGGATCTACTTCAGGCTTCCTCTGCTTCTTACTCCAGTTCCAAAATTGACCTTTAAGAGCCAACTCCTAACAGAAGCTATCTTTGCCCAGGAATGGTTCTCAGGACTTTAACCTGGCAGCAAGTACAATGTTTCCAGTATAATAAAGGAATGAAAAGGGGAGCTGATACTGTAAGTGTATTCTTAATTTACAACTTTGACAAATCTGTTGGAGTTCCTTCTATTACAATATTCTACATTTATTGACCAAAAGTTTGGAGTGTCTCTAGAGCTACTCTTACCTCTGCAGTGTTTTTTATCTGGTCTTGATGCATTCATAAACCTGATCTCTTTTAAGAATACCTTGAAATTTTGTGGGTTTTTGATGGCACCCTTTCTTGTTTTTGAGAACTTCAATTATATCAATATACGTGCTGTTATTTTTGTTAAGTGCCATCAAGTCAGTTCCAACCCATAGTGACCCTGTATATAGTTTCCAAGGAGAGGCTGATGAGCTTGAGCTTCTGACTTTGTGGTTCAACCCTACTTTACAGTCCAGCGCATGAACCCACAATGCCATTCTGATCATAAATTTCTACATTTATCTCTCTATATCCAGTTGCCTACTTGATATTTTTATTTAGTTATCTTAAAGGCACCCATAACAAACTATATTAAAATACTTATTTTTTAACATAATAAAGCATATTAAAAACTGATATGATCTTTCCCTTAAACTATATCTTCAATGTTTCTAGTTAGGTAAGCCATTAACAGGAGTCATCCTTGACTATTTGCCTTCACTATTTGCCAAACCCTGTCTATTTTATGTCTTAAAACAGCCATCAGATGTATCTATTTCTATCTCCAATGTTACCACCTCAGGATATCCTGCCATTATTTCTTTCAGTTCAGTGGAAGCCTTTCCTAGTCTTTCTAAAGTCAGTTAGTTAGTCACCAAATCTCTCTCTTTTGTAGCACTTTACACATTATAATTTCACATTTACTTGTATGTGCTTGAATGTTTTGAGAAAGAAATCCAGAACAAAGGGAGAAGAATTCATCTTGGACTAAGGGAAGTAAGGGAAGGACACCTCTTCCACAAAGATGAGAGGAGAGCACAGAGGTATGAATGTTTGAAGGAAGGACAGAAAGCTGAGGGAGTTCATATCTGACGGTCTTACCTGATATTAGTTCGCTATTTGATGAACTACTATCAGCCTGGAGACAATCAGTCACTGACTCCTATGTGGAATAATAATTAAAGACAACACAAATTATGAGAAGGAATACTTTTGTATTACAATATTATATTATAGATTTGGTTGTTTTGAAAATGATAAGGTGATGTTATATTTATATATCAGTTTCATATGTATGTTTACCTTACTAATTGCAAATATAATCTAAAGAATATATATCAAAATATAATGCTGTAGACATATCTAGGGGGTCAACAATATATGTAGTTGTTAAGTGCCATCAAGTTGGTTCCGACTCATAGAGTTTCTGACTCACAGGGTTCTGACTCATAGGGTTTCTGATGAGCAGCTGGTGGGTTTGCACTGCCAACCTTGTGATTCATAGTCCAGTGCTGATCTTACAGTGTCACACCAGGATAAACCAATAGACAATAAAAGTGAATATTTTTATGATTCTTTAGAGAATACGGATTCCCCTCCCCCCAAATACAAAAGCAAAACCAAAAGACTGATATGTAAGTTTAAAAATACCAGAAATCAAAGGAAAACAAATAGGGAAATCTTTCTACATCTGTGTGTGTCCATATGAATAATGAACAGGTGTTGTACACATACAACAGAAATGAAAATGATCAATAACATTAGAAAACATTATAGAAGTTAAAACAACATGCTACTTTTCATCTATTCAAAGTTTCTTTCTTATTTTTATTACACATTGTTGAATAAAAAATCTAAAACATGATCTAACAACCTGATCCACTATTATTTGTCTTCTGGTTAATTTTAGGTGCAAACAAAAACTTTTTTTATGGTTGAGACTTTTTTTTTTAAATGCCTATACTGAAACTGTACAATACATTCCCCAAAAAACAGTTATAGTAGAAAATGTAAGCAAATAACCTGTGCCTTGATTATAAAATATGTCTAATATTAGATGACTCAAAAGCAATTTTTAAAATGTGAATTTGCCCCCAAACTATTGAAGTACAGCTTTAAATATTGTAAAGAATCCATGTTAAACACAGTGATCAAGAAATTATATAAATATTGTAGTGGTAATGAACCTGTTTCTTTTTGTTGATGGAAAGTTAAAGGAGAAAATGGCTTTAAAGTGTTAAAGTGCACAAGTAGCTATAGTTTTTTATCTGTCACACAGTGAATCATCCTGTAACACATAATTTTCAAATGCTTATCAAGTGAAAGGAAAAATTAAATGCATGGCCACAAAGCGGTTTGAATTAGAAATTCAAGGCCCTGTGTAAAGATACAAAATCAATGTTTACAAAAACACTAGAAACCTATGGGAGTTTCTATTAACAAAGACTGTTCTACTCTTTTATGCTGAGGTACACGCGGTAATGTTGTCTCTTAAGTGTATCCAGGGACCAAAGGAGAAACATACATACACTCAATGGAGCATTCTCCTCCTGGCTTTCTTCACTCGAGCTATTTGCTTTCAAGTGTTCCTCTCCTGTAACTCTTAACTGAATGCTAACAAACAAACAAATAACACAATTAGTTTGCTTCCTCTGGACTTGAATGCCCATGTATGTTCATTACTGTTTAGAACCTAATGGCTCTTGGGACGAAGTAAGGTACAAAGTGGATAAATTGCACCAATACCCGAAGGATGCTACAAAAGCTTTCCCAGAGGCTTTCTCTCACTTGCTTTTAGGTAACAGGCATGATTTTCGTTTTTAAATAAAATTTTCTGTCCAACGTTTGGGTCTATGTTCTGACAAGAGGGAAGTTGAGTATCCATTTATTTTCTTCATTGATTCTTAAAATGAGTGTATTAGCAGACAGGACTGGAGTTTTCTGAGGAGGCCACAAAGTGTGGGGCTGTTTGTTATTGGAGGATACGCACCTCAGCGACCCACAGCCGCTCTCTCCTGGTCCGCTGTGCTCCTCTTTCTCCATGACCTTCGGCAAACCGCGAGCTTTCCGTTTCCCTTTCAGGCCTGCGAGAAGACGACACGTTTCAGGGCTACAGTCCTGGAGCTCCACCCGCGGGATTTGAGGTTCTTGGGCCAAGGCCCAGCCGCCCCAGATCCCACCCCATAGGCCGGGCCCGCGGGGCTTACGGTGGGCAACGAGCCCGCGGTCTGGGCCTGGTGGGGCCTCCATCTTCGCGGGGACGCTTAGGTCCGGAGTAGGCGTTAGGTTGAGCCTTTGGCAAGCTTGCTTCTTGCGGGTATATACTCTTAGAGGCCACATTGCCACCCCAGCCCTAGTATGGCATTAAAGGTGCGGGGAGTCATCCACAGTCACCAACCAGGTGGGGTCTACAAGCAACCTCAGAGGTGTGAGGCCGCAACTACAATTCTCAGCCTGGCTCCCGCCTTTTTATGGACGAGGCTACGCAGGGCTTCTGGGAAGACCCGGAATGAGGTGGTGGCCCCGCCCTTTTGGAGGCGTGGCATCCTAATACTTGACCTTTGGCTTGCATGCCACCTGGGCCTCATCTGTAAGGAAGAGAAGCTAACTGGAAAAAGCCTTTTTTTCATCCAGGAGTCACTCCTTTGGTTTTGATCTCCTCATTAGTCAACATCTGTTTCTGATGCTTCAGTGACTCTCCTTATCAGCACTGCAGTCTGGTCTTAGTAATGAAACATCTGATGTCTAAGCACAAAGAGTATCTGGGGCTCAACCTAACTCAGTTCAAGAAGGTGGAAAAGGAACCAGTGCATATTAAGACTACAAGAAGCAGAGGCCTGAAGAATCAACTTCAGGTCCTTGGGCCAGCAATTTACTAGGAGGGTCTCACCAGGCCTTTAAGGATGGGACTCTAGGAGGACAAACACAGTTCCTTGGTCCCTGCACAGGAACCATATTCTGGACATTAAGGCTTCTTGTGGTCAGGATAGAGCAATCCATAGGGACGTCTCTTCTAGTGCAATGGGACTCTCAACTTTTCTGCTCTGCTTAATTGGAGGGACATAGGAGTGACCACCCTCTATCTGCATGCATCTAGGTTGAAGAGCTGATTACATGTGGTAAGCATTCTATGCACATAATAATAGCCATCTTATTTTTTTTTTTTAATGTCAACATTTCACATTTTAAAACTATAGTTCGTAGAGATCAAATTACAAAAAAGTTCAAGAAGGACTTTTATGTGATAGTATGGTATTTCAATATTGTGTGCATGAATATAACATTGTGTGTATGAATAAACAGCCAATTTGTGGATTTGAGATTCCTTGGAAATCAAAGGAAAGCTTTCTGGATAATGTTTTCCTATAAAGTAGCTACATCACACATACCAGTTTTTTTTTACTGTGGTGGATTGCATGTTGATATGATGCTGAATTGGACCCCTAAATCATGTGGATGACATTACAGTTGAAACTTACTATCTTGGGTAATTTTGTTATGATCCATAGGGTTTTCATTAGCTAGTATTTGGAAGTAGATTGCCAGGCCTTTCTAACTAGTCTGTCTTAGTCTAGAAGCTGTGCTGAGATCTTTCCACCATGAGTGACATTGTTGATATTTTAAGTACTGGTGGTATAGTTGTTAGCATCATAGCAACATGCAATCCACCAAGCATGATGTCCTTCTCCAGGGACTGGTCCCTTTTGATAATATGTCCAAAGTCTGAAAGATGAAGTCTTGTCATCTTAGCTTTTAAGGAGGATTCTGGCTGTACTTCTTCCAACACAGATTTGTTTTGTTCTTTGGCAGTACTTTTAATATTTTTCTCCAAAAACATAACTGAAATGCAACAATTCTTCTATGGTCTTCCATATTTATTGTCCTACTTTCACATGCACATGAGGTTATTTAAAATACCAAGGCTTGGGTCAGGTACACCTTCGTCTTCAAACTGAAATCTTTGCTTTTGAACACTTTAAAGAGGTCTTGTGCAGCAGATTTGCCTAATGCAGTACATGATTTAATTTCTTGACTGCTATTTCCCTGAGTGTTGATAGTGGATCCAAGCAACATGAAGTCTGACTTCAATCTTTTCTTCATTTATCATGATGTTATTTGTTGGCCCAGAGGTGAGGATTACTGTTTTCTTTACATTGAGGTGCAACCCATACTAAAGTCCTTGATCTTTGCTTTCAGGAAGCAAGGTTGCTTATCTGTATATTGCAGATTGTTAATGTGTCTTCCTCCAATCCTGATGTCATAGTCTTCTTTATATAATCCAGTTTATCATATTATTTACTCAGCATACAGATTGAATTAAGTATAGTGAAAGAATACAAACTTGGTGCACAGCTTTCCTGATTTTAAGCCATTCAATGCACAAGCCAGCTAATGCAACCAGGGTTAGGAGATGACACAAATATGGATTCCTTCCAATCATTTTCAGGTAGCTATCTTCCAAATTTCTTGGCATAGATGCATGTGTGCCTCCAGTGCTGCACCAGTTTGTTGAAAGATTTCAACTTGTATTCCATCAGTACCCGGAGCCTTGTTCTTTGCCAATGCCTTCAGTGCACAGTGGACGTCTTCCTTTAGTGCCATTGGCTCTTGATCATGTGCTATGTCTTGAAATGGTTGAACATTGACAATTTCTTTTGGTACAGTGACTGTGTATTCCTTCTATCTTCTTTTGGTGCTTCCTGCATCATTCTGTACTTTGCCTCATAGAATCCTTACAAGTCGAGGCTTGAACTTTTTCTTCAGTTCGTTCAGCTTGAGAAATGCTAAGTGTTCACATATCAATATAATACTTGACTTTGTCTTCTTGAGCTGCCCTTTGAAAATCTCTGTTCACCTCTTTTACCGCTTCATTTCTCCCATTTGCTTTAGCATCTCTACACTGCAGAACAAATTTCAGAGTTTCTTCTGACATCCATTTTGGTCTTTTACTTCTTGTCTTCTTAATGACCTTTTGCTTTCTTCCTCTATAATGTTCATGACGTCATCCCACAACTCTCTGGTCTTCAGTCACTAGTGTCTAATGGACCAAAGTACCAAAGATTTCACTTAGTAGACTCTTTTTTAAGTGTGACTATAGACATGCCAGGTGTTTACACTGGGGCTGCCACCTCAGGCAATTCAGACTGAATGGGAGCAATCATCAACCATGTGAGAAGCTTGAAAAAAGGATACTTTAGCTGAGTTTTGAGAGGTGAACTGCATAAGGTAGACAGGAGGATAAAAGGGAAGCACATTCTAAGGAAAAGGATAGCATGGAGGCACAGAAAAGCCTGATACTTTTTGTTGTTGTTGTTAGGTGCCATCGGAGTTGTTACTGACTCATAGCAACCTTATGCACAACAGAATGAAATTCTGTCTGGTTCTAGGCCAACCTCGCAATCGTTGCTATGCTTGAGTCCATTACTGCTGCCACTGTGCCACTCCATATAGTTGGGGGTCTCCCTCTTTTTCTCTGTCCCTCCACTTTACCAAGCATAATGGAAACAGGAAGAGTGCACTGAGTCCAATAAAGATGAAAATGACCCAGAATACACTTATAATCGTGAGAAGGAAGAGTAGTGAATGGTAGCAAATATAAGGAGAAGGTAGATCTGCCAAACTTAGATACAACAGAATGTACCATTCTAATAAATCGTACTCACTCACTATACTGAATGTGAGTAAAAGACATAGAAATATGTTTAAGGGCCATCGTGAAAGAAAATTTGAATACAGTTATTTATTCTTTTAAAAGTATAAAAATGATTTAAGTCCAGGACATATTGGATGATAGCAAGAGTTCCAGCAGAGTCCCAGGTAAAGGAGAGCCTATCTGGATGCACCAGGAGTCTTCGGAGTTTGGAGAACTCTTACAGAGACAGATTAAAGATCTAGCTTAATACTATGTTTATCATATGCACTAATTATGATTGATGATTATCAAATATGCTAAAATCAGAAATATGTTATCTAATTATAAAGCAGAAATTATAAGCAACTTTGAGAAATGAAAAAGCTTTATTTTTTACAAAAGTTTTCATAAATGCATTTCATGTTTGATATGCATGCTACTATAACAGAGCAACTTAAAATTATTACAGTTAAGATACATTTATGCACTTTTAAAAAGTAATATTTTAATCCCCTCAGTTTTTAAAAATTGAAAGTAGAATAAGCAGTTCTTCAAAAAATACTCATTCTCCCCCCCAGGTAATCATTGCAATGGCTTAATGGAAAATTTAAATAATCAAATGAACCTTTAACCTTTTGTTTGCATTCCAGGATTTATCATCTCTGTGTTACAATCATTAATATGCCCTAACTGAAGAGTTTCTCATTTGGGGCTTTGTTCTCACTGGAATGCTAATTTATTCTTATTGTAGCTAATTGTACATTCGCAGAAAAGACTGTTCAGCATACTAAAGAGAAAGTTCAGACTTCCAGGATCCTTACTATTATTATTATTTATGTAAATGTTTCCTTTGGCAAAAAAAAGGAAAAACAGGCAAGAAAATACAGCCAATTTAGCCCAATGTTGAGTTTATCAATTATATATATTATTCATTCTTTTTTTTTCCTGAGATAGAAGCAAGTTTGCAAGTGGCCTGCTTTCATGCAAAAATACATTTTCCCATTTTTTACATTCATTTTATATCCTAAATAACTATATCACATTTGTGCTTTATACATTTGTAAAATAAAGAATAATTTTCTCTGCTGTAAAAAGTAAAAGAATATTGGTTCTTTGATGGGTAAAAATATCAAATTAACTGACTTCAAGTTGCTAAAACATTATTCTCCTTGTAAAAATTGTAATGGAGAATTCTATATAGTCTCATGCTTGTGGTTTTACTTAAATTTACAATGAAAGTGATTTAACCGTGTTGAGGGACACAACAAGGTAATGTTTGCTCCTTGGATTTAGTTTGTGAATTCTTAATACATGGAGCTGGGACTATACCCCATTCCTTATTTCTGTGTTTATGACTTCCTAATACACATAGCTGGGCCTATATACCACACCTGGACAGTCTTCTTTTCCATCTGGAGAGGAAATTACAATACAGTATAAAGACATCTTTTATAACAGAAAGAAAAAGAATTGATGTAATTCCTTTTTATAATATGTACAACAGAGTTACTTTACAAAATGTGAGTATTACTAAAACATTTTAATGAGAACACATTTGAAAAAAAAAGCCAACTATTGAGTAACATGGTTATGCTTAAGGAATTGATTCTCTGTTATACCTTCAGACTTGGACCCAATGACCAATCTGAATGTGAATGTCTTAAGTACATATCCTTTTTCTATATCAGTTAACGAGAGAAACACAACA